AATCACCTGGATCAGACAATTGAATCGAATATAAATTCCGTGACAACATCTCGTAAGGACTTCATATCCAGGTGCTTGAATTTACTCGAATTTCTCGGATTCTCAGCGTGGCAATACAATGTTTTGCCAACCATGTAGGAGTCTCTTACATGTTTCCATCAAAAGTTAGCAAAATTGGGTCAGTGCTTGGCTAAAATCAGTTTTTGACCAATAACTGGAAATTAGATTTTTCTGGCATATCATGTTGCTTCATAAGTTGTAGATAAATGTTGCTATAGCGTTAATTTGAGCCTACTCAAAAGTCTCTACAATATTCAGAAGCTTAGATAAATATATGATATGAATATAACACAAATGGGTGTGGCAAAAAGTGTGATTTTGCCTTCTAATATGAAATGCAGGTAAATCTTACTATACATAAAGCGAGGGGTTCCGAGGGGTTCTGTTCAGTGTTCAGGCCCTTCACACTTTGTTTCTGTCTAGTTCTAAAGTTCTAATGTACCGTCACAATAGTGACTTTAATATATATATATATTGTGTTTATATATCCAAACCGTTTTACTGACACCACGACATCAACTTTAACATGACTTTCCACAAAAACCGTAAATTATGATATACAACTTAAACTTTTTTGACTTGTTCAAATGCTTTAATGGCTTTCAAATCAGCATGAAACAAAAATTTGCCAAAGAATAAGAATTTTAGTGCCCAAAATGTGGACCCCCAAGTGCATGGAGTCAAAAAAGTCAAGCACCTGGATATGAAGTCCTTACGAGATGTTGTCACGGAATTTATATTCGATTCAATTGTCTGATCCAGGTGATTGCAAGTAGGTAATAATGCTGCGCAACACAATTGTGCGCAATAAATGTCTGATCTATGTTGCCTAGGCTTTTTGCGTAACTTAAATCTGCAAATTTAAAAAATGTTAGCACCCATGTGTAATTGTATTGCACGGGCAAATTGTAATAGCCTGCCCTGAAAATTGAGTCTATCTTCTACAGTTTTTGGCAGTATCTAGATAGCCCGACCACTTATATCCGAGAATCGTAATCAATAGTTTGATCGTCTGTGTAGATGATAGACCCAGGAAGAATCCACCGCTGGATGAGAGGGAGGAGAGTAGTTGCTCCACGTTTGTTGTTCGGACAAGGGAGGAGGAAGCATTGTCCTGTGTTTCGGTCAACTCCACCAAGTAAACACACCCCCTCTCTGTATCTACCTTTGTTGTATTTTCTCTTTCCGAACTTAGCTTCGCGTCTAATTCGACAATAACTCCAGGACCACCAAGAGGACAAGGGTTTGCAAGCAGCCAATCAGCGATTCGAGTGTGGATGAATATCTTCCATGTCAGGAATTGGAATAGTTTCACCAAAAACGAACGACATATATACCACATTTAAATCGTAATCATTTATTTCATTGAGCAATCAATATTATTCGTAACTAATTATATCCGAGAATCGTAATCAATAGTTTGATCAATAGTTTGATCCAGAATAAGAATTTTAGTGCCCAAAATGTGGACCCCCAAGTGCATGGAGTCAAAAACGCGAATTAAATAGATAATAATTATTTTGGTCTCTTGAGTCTTGACACCACTATAGGGTTAGACGGGTTCCTGCTAGTGTGTATAAATTATAAGACTATAATAACGATATCATAATTGTGATCGAAATAATAATTCAGGTCAAACAGTGCCAGTGATATCAACTAATTTTGGGCAGGTTTAACCTACTTCTTTTTAAAGGTTTGTAACAACAGGCAATTACATTGATATAATACACAAATACAATTAATATAATATGAGTTATGAACAAAGTATTATGAAATTTCGTTTCTTTGAACATTTTGTCTTCCAACAAGGTTTACATGAATTGATAAAAGCACTTACTATAAAATAGTCTAAGCTAGCAATAAACATCTCTAAGGGGTCGTTCACATATTGCGTAATCATTTTTTGGAACATTTTTACGACCCCCCGCCCCCTGCCCCCCGCCCCTCCGTAATCAGTTTTACACAGTCATAGCTATTACATGTCAAAATTACACTAGCGTAATCATTAGGAAACCCTCCCCCCCCCTCAGCTGATTACGTAATATGTGAACGACTCCTAACACAAAATATCAGTCCAATCTTTTATACAAATAAACTGTGCTTCCCTCAATAATTCCAACACAGTCGTTGTTAAATACAACAAGTATACAATCTCGTATCTCATCAGGGGATCTCCCCTCCAGATATCCCCTCAGCATGATCTGGTATGTGGTGGGGGGTTGAACCCCCGGGATAAACAAAAACCCTAATTCCTGGTTAAATGGCTTGTTGGAGAACCTTCTTCTAAATCTCCACTCTACACACATCCGCATGGAATCATTTGCAAACGCAATACCTGTGTCAGTTTTCATCAGTTTTATAGCATCAGAGTAGTCTGCTATGATTGAGTCATGTTTGGTGAGCACACGCCTGTAACCATCCACCACCATGTTAGTGTGAGCGCTGTGCAGCACTATACCGCTCGCAGTGCACTGCAAGTAGTACAATGCTAGCACCGTACTGTGCAGGCCCAGTCCCACAAAGTACCCACCACACACCACGCCTGCAGTTACTGCGGGAAGGTGGAGAGGTAGCGCGTGGTAAAACCTAGAGATGGTGTTACCAGAGTGACTGGTGTGTCTGATACTGATGGTGGTCAGGTGGGATCTGTTCGGGATGAAGGTTAATGTGTAGTAGCTCTGGATGAGATTCAGTGTCACGTGATGATGATTAGTTCTCCTCAGAATGTCGGGACTATGACACTGTTCAGATAAACAACAAACTGTACCTTTACCTTCACTGGTAAGGGATATAGAGGCAATGTCACGTGTTGAGTTAGGTTGGAAGAAGTGGGAGAGAGCGGGCAGTCCACGCTTGACTATAGTTAGGGACTCAGTCCGCTTATTGAACTGACACTTCAGATATATCAGTCTCTGATCACTGCCATCCCAGATAAGGGGTATAAAATATCTGCCTAACATATCCCCGTACCTTAGAAGCACCTCCCTGTAGAAAGTTCTAGCATTTCTCCTCACCACAGCACACCCAAACTGAACTAAACAAACATTCTGCCAGATCCTTCCACTACTGGCTACTCCATGTAAGTAACTGCAAGTCAGTGATACTTCTCTCAAGTTGAGAACTGTTGCGAGTTTTACTGAGTTTCTATCTGATAGTATCTGGGAAACTAGGCTGGATAATATCCGTTCTATCAGCTCAGGGGGCAAATCCAGGATTCCTGACATATTTTATACAAATATTATCATGTGTTGTGAGTGTGATAACGTTGCAAGCGGACAGGTGAACGTAAACAAACAGGTTATTTTAAACAACTTGGTGAAGTGATGACGATTGTCTAAATATGGGTTGGTGTATAATTTGTGTCTAGTACACTGTTAGCTGTGTACAATAGTCTTCAACCGATATTATGTACTTGTATACCTGTGTACCGTATTATGTACTGTGTGTTATATTTAATGTTTAGAGTTCAAAATATCTGATAATTCAGTACATGTAACCAACGGAAACTGCTCTTCTCTGGACAAACTGTGTATCTAATATTAAGATATTATTATATCATATAATATACAAAAATATCATCCTGTCCAAACCTGTCTAAACCCAGGATGCACGACATAAAGAATTTGTTTTAACTTGTTTGTATGAAAAGCATCAATATAGTATATATAAAACATTCAGGTTATGTTATACAACTATTATTGAATTAGGCGTCATGATAAATTGGCTTTTTGTCAGACAAGCAAGCAAGTACGTACAAGAAGTTAACGAGTTATCACTGTTTGCCATTTTCTCATCTCACGACACAACGCATGTCATGTGTCTGGAGGGGGTTGTTAAAAACACATATTTATAAGAGATACGAAATGTTTATTAAGCAGGAGCTTAAGTTATCATGTGTAAATCGTCTTCAGCTGATTGTCATGTAACACTTAATACAAATTATTATCGATTCTCTGTTTTCGTGTAAACATTTGTGGGACATACTACACAGTGTGTAAAGTATAGTACATTTATAATACATTTGTGGGACATACTAGCAGCACACAGTGTGTGGAGTATAGTACATTTATAATACATTTGTGGGACATACTAGCAGCACACAGTGTGTAAAGTATAGTACATTTATAATACATTTTCATACCGTTGTAGAAATACATAGTTCTATAATATCATCAGCGTAGTTTAGTACATGATTCGTGTCTCATGCACATTGCACATGTACAGTATGCTCATATTATTGAAGCCGAGAAAATGTTTTTAAACGTCACCAATCAAATACTTCTGAAATGTCAGAATAATCTCATTCCTAGATATTAGGCTATAACTAAGAAACCAATTTTTGCCCCTTATTTTTTGCATCCGACTCATTCTAATTTAATACATTTGGGGGACACGGATTAAATTTGGTAAAAACAATAAAATACGGCAAAAAAACTTACATTTTAAATATTAAAACTTACTAAACTTGTTCTTTGATATTTGTTCACTGATTATCATTCAAAATAATTATAATTCATTAATTATAATTATGTTAAATAAATTAACACTAAGTTATAAGGCATCATGTAGCCGGTGGGCCCGACATGATACGACATATCTTGACACGTCGGGGTTTGTCGGGATTTGTCAGGGTTTGTCGGGGTTTGTCGGGGTTTGTCAGGGTTTGACGGGGTTTGACGGGGTTTCCGGTTTGTCGAGCCTGGAGGCTTTTTTTTTTTTTTTTTTTTTGAGTCTCAGAACAAAAAGCCGAGACGGAGTCATCAAGCTTTACGTGGAAAAACACTATACAAGAAGGCCTCATGTAGCCGGCGGGCCCGAGGCAAAACCCCTCGACAAACCCCGACAAACCCTGTTTGTCGGGATATGTCGGGGTTTGTCGGGGTTTGTCGAGCCTGGAGACTACATGATGCCTGTTATAATATTCACAAATCCCCAGATTAGGAGTAATGTCCATGGTGCATGTTTCAAGAATAACGCTGCTTCTAACCCTGTCCAACCTGTTCTTACACGGAGAATGCGCTTGCGAAGAGAAGATAGTACCGTACCCCAACAAGAACATTCTGGCAAGTGAAGATGGGAACATCCTTTCCAACACAACAGTGAGCACTCAGGACGAGTGCAGGGACGTGTGCTGTTCCACACTCCTGTGTGAGATGGCCGTGTTTACTGGGAGTGTGGAGGACGAGAACTGTGTTCTCTACCACTGTGCTGTTAACTGTGATGAAGGGGTCAATACTGAGACTGTCCTGCTGGTGAAGAAGGCTAAGGGTAAGTGGCTGTGTTGTTGATTTGTAATATCTTTGTACCGTTTGAGCGACTTGTATACTGAAATGGTCTACTGTAATGTCAAACTTGCTTATTTATTTATTTATTTGTTGAAAATGTACGGTATACAATATATTGTGGATATTGTTTAACAGCATGGCATATGCTATGCTATTATTAACCATAATTTAAGTGGTCATTTTCCTGACTACATAATATTATCTGTACATATTATAATAATAATTAACCAATATCAGTTGTTGCGCAAATGATCATTTATCATAATTTTTCCCTAATAATGTCATTTTTCGTAACCTTATTTAAAACTTCAGAAGCAGTGGAAGATTTGGAGCCAAAAGTAGAAATAGAAACAGCAATTCAGGTCAAGGAAGAGGAGACTGCCTCTAAAAGGTAATATTTATGTACTTTAGTTTTGCATGACATATGCTTACTGGACTGACCGGTAATTACAACACTAAGTTTATTATACAATATACACATGTACTGAGTGTATTAGCGACCATCATGGCAAATAAGTTAGCTACATAAGAGCTTTGTCTAATTTCTTAATGAAAAGCTCCAATAGTTATTAGTGGGGCCGATACTCCAATAGGTACAATGCCAATAGGTGGCATTGTACCTATTGGCACTCGTGTTCATGATAATACTCAATAAATGTATTTTGTACTGTTGCAATTAGTTTATGTTCTTGATTAATTTGATATAAAGTTTTAATTAAAACCATTTCTACTGCTGGCTGCTGCCTGTAAAACGTAACATGTATAAACTTTTCAGTGCATTACACTTATCAAAAGCAACAGCCATAACCTTGCTGGTAGTTGGAGTGCTAGCCTTCGTTACCGTGGTGGGTGTGTTCACTTTCAAATGTGTGGAGTGGTCGCCAAGGAGGAGGTACAACCGGATAGACTTTCTCATGAATGATGTTGATGATTGAAAGGATTATTGCAAAGTTTTGAACATAAAATGGAATGTTGACAATTGAGATGCGAGGTGTGGTTGTTTTGGAAAAGACAGTGTTATTTATTGAAATATCCTGGTGTACAAGGAACAATATTTATTGTTTAATGATAACTTATATAATCCAGACGATTCAGAAGAAAATATTGTTGCAAGTATCAATGCACAGTTAATTAACAGTTAAAGTTGTAATTTCAAATTTGAGTAAAAGCTGATAATATATATATTATGAAAATTGTGACTAATAATAATATATTTTACATTTCTGTTTTTATGTATTTATTTATTGAATAAAATTATTTAAAGATTAATTATGAAAATGTAATAGAATATATTACAGTAATTGGTAACGTTATGAATGAAATTTTACAGTAATTGGCCTAGTGATTCTTTTTTTCCTGATAGTCGTTAATAACTTAATTGTTCTCATTTAAACTGTATTCAGATTTCACATTGAATTCTTAAAGTATGTTGTACAGTGAAAACAGTGAAAACGGCGAAAACAAGTTTAAATACTTTATTTTTGCTTACAATTGATATTTTATTTGGATCTATTAAAGTTATCTTTGATTTTGATGAACGTGGTATTTATTCATCGACTTTAGAATGGCGAGATATGGCTTTATTGCAAGGATTTTTACTATTTATACTGTTACGTAAAACAGAAGTGTTACCAAGTTCAATAAATACAAATAGAGCCCCAATTTACCGATTGACCTTGGGCCCCTTGGTCACTGGTCAACGACTACATATAATGGCATGGTATAAGATACGTTTCTGAATCCAGTCTTACACGTTATAAATCTACAAATATTTGCAAAACTTTGGGCACGAAGGTTTGGGTCTGGGGATTCTTGGACCTTGGTCTAACAAATAGATGGACTCAGCAATCGCCTTCTCAACAACAACAAATTTCGAGATTATTTGGCCCAAAGTTTTACAAGCCGTAGCCATGACAACGGTGCATTGTCTTTGTGGGTCCATTAAGTGTTCAGGCCTTTTCACTGTTTTGTCGCCTCAAAACTGAGAGGGTATTTATTTACCATAGCATGTAAATTGTTTCAGCGAATGAAAATGTGGTTGTTTTGTCCATGATTTGTTTAACTTTAATTGTTGTCTTTTAATTGTTTCTGTAACTTGAACCTTTATTTAATTATTTTATGCACTACTTTTGGACTGGAAAGAGCCCACAGTTCAAACAAAAATTGGGGAAAAAATCTTGCCAGGATCTGCAATATATTCGGCAATTGTACGGATGATCAATCTGTAAATTTATCTATGATTAATAATATATCCTTGCAGATACAGTGTGCTATTAGAACCAAGCTAAATTTTAGAAATATGAGGACATGTAAACTGTAAAGTATGCGTAGAGTTCTTTTTATAATTTAGAGTCTCAAAACGTAAGACGGTGGAAAGGCCCCGCAGTTCAATCCAAGAAAGTATGGAAGACCTCTTTAAACTATACGGTAACCTGTCTTTCATATTCGTACTTACTCCTTGAACTTTCTAGAAATGGTTTCCGAAATGTTCAGTCAAGGACAGAATTGGTGTTGTTTCCAACCTAATTCTGGCTTTAGACATAATTTGGGATGGTTTCCAACCTATAACACCTATAACGATGATGTCAACTCTAGTCCTGGTATGCAACACTATAATGCCGTGCTAATCACATGACTCACCTAGTCACGTGGCCCATCTGATCACGTGACAGCCAGCATAGGCTGCCTTAAAGTCACCATACTGTGCAGCTGTTGAGTTTCATACCCCCACTTCCTAACACGTCATCACAGGTGACAACAAACTTGCTGTGTGCTGAATGTTATCCTTTTTGCAGACCTATTTATGTCACCACTCTTTCCATGAACCTTACTCCGAGGAACGAAAACTGAACAGCTATTAATAGATTTTGTTTCGCACTGGCCCCGACCCTGAAGTTGGGAAAGTGACGAAGGTTAGCTGCCAATCATTCAGAAGGCTCCGAAACATAGTGTCACCTGCCTCTAGTCGTGTCCTGTAGCCTAGGTTATAAATGAGCTGTCCGCGTTGTAGTTCCTGTCAGCACCTAATAGTTTTATAGTTCTATATCTCAGAGAGCAGACCGGCCCTGTGTGAAGTGATGCTGCCTTACTGTTGACATTTCCTTCCGCAGCATTATGAGAACAGTTCAACGAGTTGCTATTAATTCTTAATTTGATAAATTTTTCTCTGCTACCTGCAACCGCGCCTGACTCTTCACCTTGGGAATTCGCCAGAAGCTGATCAGAACTGCGACTAGTAGTAACCTAGCAACAGTAACATAGCAACAGTAACCTAGACAACCAAGAGAAGATGGCTTTCCCCCTGGATTATGATTACTTTTTGGTGTGCGCTTTTGAGTTCACTTGTGACAAACGTTCTCAAGAGCCACAGGAAATCATCGAACTGTGCATCCTCAAATACTGCGTCAAGTCTCAGAATGTCCTTGATAAGTTAGTAACTTGTTTGCTTTTTTCCCTGCTTGTTTCCATTAAAATGTCCGGTAATCGTGATGAGGTGACGCATGTTTTTACACGTAATAGTGATTATCAAATTAGCTTGCAGGCTCGACCAATCAGATCCGGAATTACTGTCACTTGTTTTATATAAACCTTCGCCACACCTGAATATCGTAATATATCAGCATCTATCAACCACTTGATACCAATGAACAATTTACTCACGCTCGCGCTCTTAGTTGTGATATAAATAATACACACGAATTGTAAGCCCCGAATTGTAATCCGGCAATTTGACGGTTTATTGTACTTGGTTAAGGCGTTAGTAAATAAGCATGCTTCTCTCCCACCATGATAATTTAGTCAGGTATTTTACAGATGGTGGACTGGGCGGGGTTGCTGGGATTGTTAAGGACTAATAGCTGTAATAAATCTGACATGTGTAGATTACTGATGATCATGACACTCGTCGGATGTTTTAATTAACACTGTGTACTAGCAGTATAATACAGCTAAAATAATATCTCTTTTTCCTTGATGTAATAATGGGAAATATATATATATAATTTAATATTATATTGCATTGTTCCTTCTTTAACGTCTTGTTGAGCTGTTGATACAAAGGAATTTTCCATGTTTCTGGTGAATATAAAATCGCATGTCATGTGCAGCAGTTTCAAGTAAACAGTTAGTTTTATAAAGGAGCATGTCGTTCTGCGTATGTCTGTGTGACAGCTATATTTAGAGCAAACAGTAAATTATCTCCCAACCGAAACTACAACTTCATGGTTACTCAAGCTGTCCAACTTAGCATGAACTATACTTACTCCGCTGTTACTACTAGGAAAAATTGCCCTCATCAGTCATCATTTACGCCGATTATAAAATAAATAAAGAACATTCTTTTCTTTAAAAAAAGGCTTTTCAACACTATCTTGCTCGAGCGAAGGGTGTCTTTGGACCGAGAAGCTGTGCAAATCTCTGTCTGCCTTCTCCCGGTCACCGGTCAGCTTGGCCAACATTTTATTACATTCAGGAAGCCTAATTAGTAAAATTACATAATAGGATTATAATTACTTAATGATACTCACAGACTTACACGGAGGATATTTCATACATCCGGCAGGCGTTTTCAGGCGTTAGCAGGCGTTTGCAGACGTTAGCAGGCGTTAGCTTTCAGGTGATCTGTTAAATGAGCAACATTAATCTTACCTCACACACGCGTGTTTATGTGTACAGTACAGTTAGACTTGCTTAAATACTATCTAATTGGTTGAGTCTAAACGATAATCGACCGCAGAAGAAAATATAGAATGTATTTTAGGAATATGACCTTGTAGCTTCCACAGAAGGAAAGATATAGAGAAAATGACCTTCTAGCTTCTATAAACACGTGATCACTGTCTAGAGTATGTTCAAAGCAAAACAGTTAGTTTTTTGAAAGAACACGTTGTTGAGGCACGCCAGTGTTATATATTATGCCTGGAGGGTGATAATGCTTCGTGGTATTTTTCAGTCGGGTTTTTTGTTTCGCAATGATACCATTTATAATACATGGACTGTAATTCTATTTTGAATATATTCAATATTGTTTTTGTAAACCTAACATGATCTTGGTGACCTTAACATTGATTTGGCGACAGACTGCCCAAAAGCCTTTAAGAAGCCTCTTTTATAAAATTAAACCAAATATCAAGTATGCATTACTATTCTATGGAATAGAACCCATAGATCAAAGCAAAACAGTTAGTATTATAAAGGAGCATATTGTTGAGGCGCGCTAGTGTTATTATATAAAGCCTGGAGGGTGATTATGCTTCGTACCTACATCCTACATGGAATTTATTTGGCGACTAGCTTCCCTAAAGCCTATAAGAAGCCACCTTTACAGTATTAACCAAATATCAAGGAGGTATAACTATAATTATTATATAAAATCGAACCCATAGATCAATAAAGATTTAGCGCTGTTACAATACTGTAACATTGTAAAACTAGTGTGAACTTGTTATATTATGTCAGATAAAGATAAGAAGCATAATAAGAGTAGTTGTCACATTGTTAAATACTTGTTAACTACTTGTGAACTCATACTACACTTAACTACTGTAAATAGATCTGCACAAAACACACAGCTTCATAAATGTAATAACTATCTTCATATTATCACAAACTGTTATACTATAGAATAAATTACATTTCTATGGCGGACAAAATTGAGCGTATTAAAAAAGAACTCGAGATTCATGGACCAAGAAACCAATTTCATACGAGAATAATGCAACCTGAAGTAACCTGTTTACAGTGTTGCTCACAAACCCCCTCTCCCAGGTTCTACTCTCATATCTCCCTCGTAACTCCTCTTATCTCCCAGGTTCTACTCTCATATCTCCCTCGTATCTCCTCTTATCTCCTCTTATCTCCTAGGTTCTACTCTCATATCTCCCTCGTATCTCCTCTTATCTCCTCTTATCTCCCAGGTTCTACTCTCATATCTCCCTCGTATCTCCTCTTATCTCCCAGGTTCTACTCTCATATCTCCCTCGTATCTCCTCTTATCTCCTCTTATCTCCCAGGATCTACTCTCATATCTCCTCTTATCTCCTCTTATCTCCTCTTATCTCCCAGGTTCTACTCTCTGGTGAAGCCACAACACCCAATAAACAGTCAACTGAGCACGTTCTGTAAGATGTTGACTTGTATTAGTGACCGGAAGCTGGAGAAGTGTCCCAGCCTACAGGACATCCTCGTGGACTTCGACCGGTGGATATGGAAACAGGGACTTAATCAGTCAAGGTTTGTGAAACACGTGTTAGACACGTGGATAAACACGTGGTTAAACACGTGGTTAAACACGTGTTAAAAGGTAACGTCATACCGTAAAACCCCGATTTACTGCGAGTTTTCCCTTTCCCCAAGGGCTGCAGTAATCGGGATTTTACTGTAGTTATTTTGAGAGCCTGTACTGACGTACTTTTTAATAAATCGGTTTTCACTTTTATATATCTCCATTTCCCAGCAGCTAACTGCAATGACTTCAAGCACACATTTGTCTATCAGTTATTGGAACTTGTACTACATTTAGAAGATGCTAACCTTGGTATTGATTAACAGCTGGTGTGCCTGAGAGTGAGACCCAATTATTCCATATATGGGCATATAACACGCACGTGTAAATAACTTTGATCGAACCCACGCAATGGTTCTTGCCAAGGGAGGGATGTCGGCGTTACTTGGTTTATTTTCAGAGAGTTACTGTCTAGTTTGTACCGTCTAGTCAGTGACGTAATAATTGGTTAACAATTAGCTAGAACGTAATACGTAACATCTAGATAGGCTTTAAGGTACCCTGTTTCATGAACTTTGTTCACTTTTGTGGGTGCATAGTTAGTAATAGGAAGGAAACAGCTAGGTCCTAAGAAACTTTTGTGGGTGCCGAGTGGTAAAGTAAGGAAATTGTCGATCTAGGGTTTGGATTAGAGCTGTAGAGGGGTTAAATATATGGGACGAGAAATGTTGGAGTTAGACGAGGGGAACCATGGGAACCATAGTTTGTTCACAATACCAAGAGGCTAGCTCTCCACCCTAAACAGCACATTTTATCACTAATTAATTAACTAATTAATTCAGATTCATCTTCGTACCGCACACCTACTTTGACCTACAGCACATGTTACCACAACAGTGCAAATCTCTGGGATACCATCTCCCTGCTTACTTCTTCTCTTGGATCAACTTGGAGGAGCTCTCCATACAGTTTGAAAAGAGACAGGTCAGTGTTTAGCAGGGGTTTCTAGAATTATTATTATCCCTGTCTTTAACTCTTTAACAACTTCGTCTGAGATGCGGTATTTTACCTGCTAGGCCAAGGTACATACCTTTTTAATATTTACATACTAGGGTACTTACATATCCTTTAATACTTATATTAAAGTATTAACACCCATTCCTGACCTATTTATTACGCCTGTTGATGAGAAGTCTGCGCTGATATTATTAACATTAATTGGTATTGCCGCGGGTGCTTTCAAATCTGAGCCTCTATTGTAGTTTTGGCTCCTACTGAGTGGGCCCCACACAAAATAGACGGTCTTTTGCCGTTAATATCACACTTGGGACTAAAACCAAATTGTGAACAAACTCAGCAAATATCGTTACACTGTTGCATACTGGAGGAGTAAATTTGCAATTTTTTTGGCCAAAACTTTGTAACTTAATTATGTCTGGTTTCATGCGTGTGCAGACCTCGACCCGGTAAATTGCAGTGAAGTTAGATCACCAGGTTGTGTTAAATCACACCAGAACTGAGAACAGCAGAGAGTGCACCACACTGAGACGGGTAACATAGCAACCTAGTAACACTGAGACTGGTAACATAGCAACCTAGTAACACTGAGACTGGTAACATAGCAACCTAGTAACACTGAGACTGGTAACATAGCAACCTAGTAACACTGAGACTGGTAACATAGCAACCTAGTAACACTGAGACTGGTAACATAGCAACCTAGTAACACTGAGACTGGTAACATAGCAACCTAGTAACACTGAGACTGGTAACATAGCAACCTAGTAACACTGAGACTGGTGCCTTGTGTTACGGTGACTTAATCGCCAGTGCGGTTGAGAATTTCCTAAATGTGATAGGATGTGAGATACGTTAAATTGGATTGTGTTAACTTTCTTTTGAAGTGATGTCTAATATTTACCATAATATTTTTTCAGGTTTCCAATAAACCGGCAAAAAAGCAGCTGACCAGGAGAAATTCTAAAAGTGTGCTAAATGCCTTCGGAGTACAACAGACGGGCAGACAACATTCGGCTGTGAGTTTTCAGCATTTTTAAGTATTTTCGACTTTTTGTCGGAAAATTTCTTCGAGTTTATGTGTCACCACGTTTTGGTGTTCACAATTGGCCGGAAAAAAGCGAGATCATAGTTGGGTGAATTCTCAGTATTTTAACAGTCAACAGTCTTTGTTCTTTGCCGTGCCTTCAAACAAGGAATTGCATCACAGCTCTTGTTCATCAGCAGATAAAACCCATTACCGACTAAGCTCACTCCAAATATACACAACTAGTGCCAATTACCAAAGTGGCACGAGGAATTCCGGGCTGACCAGTATTTTAAACTACCTGAACCTTGTCCGTCCTCGGGACCCAGTTTAAGAACTGTTAAACACAAAGCAGGCTTTGTTAACTCACTGTACTGGGTATACTAGTTAACTAGAGCTGACTTAGAGCAGGGTTGTAAAGTCCTGGGCTTAGTCATTAATTGGTATATAACTAACAGAGAAAAAAGGCGATAATATCCGGAACTGGTACGATGAAAGACCGTGCACGTATTTCTCCTTTTAGGTATCGGTCGATTATCAGGAGGCCGTGATGACAACACTTACTCAAGTTCTAAAGCTAGCTAATCCTCAGGTAGACAACTGCAATAACACAGTGAGCCTGATAATCAGTATGTCAGATAAGGGGGTGGACTTTAACGCTAAAGTGTGGCACTACAGAGAGTCAGGAGACAAGGACTCTAATGAGGACACTGAACCGCTCGACCCTGAACTGGATCTGGACGCGGTGGAGGAGGATAAGTTTACTGCATTGTTTAGTCGCGCCAGCAGTCGTGCTAGCAGCAGAGTCGGCTTCTCCAGGTACAGTTTACCTAGTAATCTAGTAACCTAGTAACCTAGTAACCTAGTAACCTAGTAATCTAGTAACCTAGTAACCTAGTAACCTAGTAACCTAGTAACCTAGTAACCTAGTAACCTAGTAAACTCGTAACCTAGTAAACTCGTAACCTAGTAACCTAGTAACCTAGTAACCTAGTAATCTAGTAACCTAGTAACCTAGTAACCTAGTAACCTAGTAACCTATTAAACTCGTAACCTAGTAACCTAGTAACATAGTAACCTTGTAACCTAGTAACCTAGTTACCTAGTAACCTAACTTAACCTAGTAACCTAGTAACCTAGTAACCTAGTAACCTAGTAACCTAGCAACCTAGTAACCTAGTAACCTCGTAACCTCGTAACCTAGTAACCTAGTAACCTAGTAACCTAGTAACATAGTAACCTAGTAACCTAGTAACCTAGTTCCAGCAGTCGTGCTAGCAGCAGAGTCGGCTTCTCCAGGCGTAAACCTTCTCTAAGATGATTTTTGTTTTCCATATTGAAACAAAGTTGACAAACCTCAAATTTGTTTTCTCGTGATATATTCCGCCACGCGAAGTATGTTCTCGGTATGTTTATCAAGTATGTTCTCGGTATGTTTATAAAGTATGTTTATAACAAGTTTACTAATTCCAGGAGTACTAGCACGAACAGCGGACGCTGCACTCCGAGCAGAAGTGGGCGCAACTCTCCCACCAAACTATTCTCTGGTCGTACTACCCCACTCATGCCCATCATGTGAAGAGATCAAGGATTCGGACTACTTCAAAGAACGTGATTTATCTGACTCACTTTGTGGAATGTGAATACTTTCACTTTCACTTTGTGGAATGTGAATAGTTTCACTTTCACTTTTACTTTGTGGAATGGGAATGCTGTGGGCCTGCATTTTGGAATAAGAGCTGATTGATATGAAAATTAAATTTTGAACACAGTTAATGATTGGAACTCGAGAGATGGCGAAAGTTTGTTTCGGCAAGTTAGAATGATTTTAACTAATCAGCTTGCAGTAAATCCCAGTATAGCTGTCACGTGCAAAGCTGTCACGTGCAAAGCTGTCATGCGCAAAGCTGTCACGTGCATAGCTGTCACGTGCATAGCTCTCATGTGCCCAAACATACTTTTACCATTTCCCTAGTCTTTACCATTACTTCGTCTATTATTGGACAGTTTAAACTGCTGGACTGATTGACGGAAACACGGTGATTATAGTACCTTGGTGTGTTTTAAAGAACTAACATTTCTATTTTTATCTAAATATAGTTGTATTCTGGGTCGGCCAGAATTTATAGACAATAGAGAGTTTATTTAACTCTGTTAAAATATTATGTAGCCGGAAAGGTACCCTTATCACAGATAGTAAATAGTTAGATACTGCTAATTCTGGCCCGCCCTCTATTTTAGTCTAGGTTTGAGTGATTTTATTTATCTTTGAATCTGAAATTTTGGGCAAAAACTGCAATCCATCTTATCAGTTATTATATATCTCATTATGCTCGAACAATCAAATCTTCAAATTGATGCTGGATTCTACATCCGTCACCTATTCGAAAGTAACGCGGAAAATTCTTTCGTATTGTGTGAATGATATTGTGTGACAACATATTTGTAGACACTTAAAGACTGAGCAGACTGCAGGAATGCAGGATGATCTAACGACCACCTCCAGAAAACCATTTCACTTTTCATTTCTGTTAGTCTGCTGTTTAGAAGGGACAAGTTGGCCAAGCCATCGGCCTTGAGGGTTGATAAGATTTTACTTTATTAAATCAACATTTATGTTAGATAGTTGAAAATGGTAACTATAGTTACGTGATTTAAACAATCGTTTGAACTATCGAAAGACGATTTACCAAAAAATATCATATTATGATGCCTTTTTTAGTCCGAAAACAAACATTCGTCTTATTTATGTACCATTAATTTTGTTATCAATCCTATGGGAGCGTTCACATATATATGACGTCAGCAAGACTTTTGCCAATTTACCCCCTCCCCCTGTCAATAACTGTCAGCACTGCTCGACCCCCCCCCCACCTTTTTACTCCATCGACCCCCTTACTTAATACTTACCCCCCTGCCGTCAGCCAGCGAGGGTGTTCTGAAATAAAAATGTGTAGACAGAGAAAATCGATGTCTGACTTATTTGAACAGTTGGTCAACCTAGTTCAGTTCACCGAAGTACTAATATTTAGGAAATTAGCGAAGTTTTATTGTTAATAAAATTGATTCAGCAAAGCTCAAACCCCCTCCCCTGTCAGCAACCGTCAGCATTTCCAAACCCCCCTGGCCTCGGCTGCTGACGTCATAATATGTGAACGCTCCCCTATTGACTGTGATGGTATTATAACGATTATATCTCTGAACATTATTCCAACAATAGTGGCTAGTGCCTCAATTATACCAAACTCTGAGTTGCATTACCTGAGATTATGATATTGTGTTCCTACTATGAGTTCAAGAGAGAAAAGCTAATCTCATTTCTGCAACTTGATACAGGCTCCTACTTGATACTACTCTCATACTCTCTCTTTCTACCATCTGTAACCGTGTTACTCTCCCTTTCAGAACTCGTATTGTACTCTGTTGGTTACGTGTTTCTGGGGCAACATTTGTAGTGTTCCTGTTTATTTCGACAAGGAAAAGGCTCTTATCAGGATAAGGAACTGCTCTACGTTTCAATGTAACAACATCGTATTCGTGATATCAAATTATTTGTTATATAATAGTACTGTTGAAAATATTAGTTACGTCTTGACGCACTGCTCGCTTAGTTGACATGTTGCAATCTGTAGCTGCATTCTTTGTTAGTGCACTGTGCTTATTTGCCGTGCGATAATAGGCCCTAAATTATTAACATTTCGTCACCTACGAAGCACGAAGCATCTGTAATATATTGTCATTTAGAGATAATATTAAGATGTTGGGTAGTCTCAGTTTTTCAGCTGAAGGATCGTGAGAAATATTGAACAGATATAAAAGACTTCTAAGATACAATTTGTTATTTGTCGGCTTGAAATAAAGCTGTTTCCGTTAAGGTATGTGTCACTTTTAACTAATGAAACCTTCCATTAACACACGTGTTCAACACACGTTATCATAATTTCATAATATTCTTTTGGGTTCCCATCAGTAGAAACGTGAATTATTCCATGATCCATAAATGCCTGTGTCATAGTCACCCATGAATGATTCACGTATCTTTTATTATTCTGGTCAGTCATGCACATTACTCAATGCATAACTGCATTTCATAGTAGAGATCTGAAATGATTTTGGGGCCTCTATGGCCTATAGAACCGAAAATGTTTTGGAGCCTAAAAATTCCAGCTGGAAAACGCTAGATCTGACCACGCTCATTTCTTTTCATATTCCAATATTCTAATATTATATCCTTAAATCGGCTCTTGAACAATGAACATCGTACAGACGTTTGAATCGGCACCCAATTAGTGACCGAATTACCCAACTTGATATTATACAAATTATGATACTTTAATGTATGAATCTAAACTAACTGTGATGGACACATTTATACAATATACATGCATAAATACATACTTGCCCCAAAACTCTAAAATGCTTATTGTATTGAAATACAAATTTTGGACGATGTAGAAACGGGGAAGCAGGAGTCCTAGAACTTAGAAGCTTTCAGACGACTCCACAGATATTTTCATGTATTTTATGTATCTGCACATTTTTTTTACTGTCACACTTTCGCTCACGCCACTCAAGACAGGCACTCTGACATAGTTTACCACATTCCTAGTGTTAGTTGGTTAATCATAATATAATGAGCGGGATATAAATACCAAATTTAATTTAATTTTCATACTCTCCTTGTGTCTCAGGCTGAAGTCCTGTTGCTTTTAGGCTGGATGTCCTTTGTTGCAGCCTGACAAAAATTCCAAATCTGTTCGACCCTTCCTTACATAATAATATGACGTTATAGTACAATATACTTTATAATAATCTAATATCAGATAATGCTACTTCTAGGCAATGACTTCCCAGGGGCAGTTTCTAAACCAAGACAAGAGCACAGTGAGGAAGCGATGTGCGGAGAGCATCTGCGACTTCAGTGCCAAGTTGTACGGGCATCTCTGTAATAAATCCGACAAAAACATCTTCTTCTCGCCTTTAAGCATAGCAGCGTGCCTCCAGATGGTACACCATGGCGCTAAGGGTAACACTAAACGACAAACCAGCGATGTAATGGGTATTCTTGGTATTGAAGATGCTGACATTTTGTCGTTTTACCACGACACCATAGCTTCCCTAAACTCAGAGGAGGATAAGTTTACTTCACTTGACGTTGCTAATAGAGTCTGGATTAAAGACAACTTTGCGGTGTTGGATGCATACAAGCAGATGCTACAGGGGCAGTTACATGCAGATATTATAAGGAATCCTTTTACCGACCCTGATGGAGTGTCTAACGAGGTGAACGAATGGGTCTCCAAATCAACCAAAGGAATGATAAAAGAGCTTATTACTCCAGCAATGATAAACGGTCTCACAAGGCTTATCCTCTGCAATGCTATCTACTTCAAGGGTCTCTGGACTCACGCTTTTGACACCTCTGATGAAGAAGACTTCCACTTGAGCGCCAAGGAGACTAAGAAGGTACAGATGATGAGACATTACAAGGCAGAGAAGATGATGTACGGTGAAAACGGAGTTGCTCGATATGTTATAATACCGTATAAGGGGCGGAAAGGAATCAGTATGATGGTTATCCTGCCTCAAGTGCCCTACCAGCTACAAGAGGTGATTTATTGAAAGCTCCTCGTAAGAGGTGTGTCTCTAAAAACCCCGACACTCCTGAAAAATATAACTTCTAGGAAAAAAATAAATGAAAAATGAAGTCAAATTGTGATAAATCGTAACAAATGTAATCAATGGTATATTAATATTAATTAAAAAAGGTGGAGAAGAAGATGACAGAACGCCCTGGAGTGGTTAACGAGTGGTTTAAGTCCGCTTCCAGCCGGAATGTCCGGCTGAAGCTACCCAAGTTCAAGTTTGAGGAGAAGTACGATCTGAAGCAGTTGCTGGAGGAACTTGGTGTCACTGATATGTTCACAGTGGGTGTCGCAGACTTTTCAGGGATAAACGGTAAGTTTTACCAACAAATTAACTTGTTGATACTTGATTAATGTTAGTGCTATCGTTTGAATTGATTTGATCTTGATTGGAATTATTTGGCATGTTGACATACTTGATTGCTGGTGATTGAAAGACGAAAGTTAATCGCACGATCAATAAACTAATAAGAGCTTGAATAATTAAACGTCGTGTTATTTCAACTTCAAATAATAATTCCGGGACTTTTCTACGCGATCAAAACACTTTTTACAGTTCAAGTCTAACTAATTATAATAATTACTAACTAACTAATAGAATCTAATAATACAATATAATGATATAATCTAATAGAAATAGAACAATCATTCCCAAACCTCAATCATCCCAATCATGCAGAGAAATTTGGAACTTCTAGTCACACTCAGTAGGTATGGTGCGGTTATGCGGTAGTTAATATTAGTTCTAGTAATTAATGTTTTCAAGAGATTTGATGAAAATAATTACAATTCGTTTTATGTTTTCTTCAACCTGATCCACTCATCGTTAGGTTGCGAATATCTTGTTATCATTGGATATCATTGGAGCTTTTTAAAACATTAAAATTGTTTTATTAGTAATGATACGAGTAATAACACGGTTGAAAGCCTTACAAAGTTTAAACTCCTTGAAAGTAAGACTTCCAACAAAAGTTAGAATTAAGTTTAAAGTAAGAGCTGGCAAGTTATGAGAAGACTTATGTCCATCATGAAATCTTACATCGAACTTTCGGGCAAGTTTATGTCTTGCTAGTATTGCCTGATAAATTGCCAGAAATAAGCTTCCTTTATTTCTAGACAGCATGAACGCGTGACTACTATTTTGAACAAGTATCACATAATATATTATAATATAATAAATATTATATATACTAGCAGGGACCCGTCAAGGACCCGTCTAACCCTAAAGTGGTGTCAAGACTCAAGAGACTAAAATAAATATTACCTATTTAGTTCGCGTTTTTGAGGGGTCCAAATTTTGGGCACTAAAATTCTTATTCCTTTGCCAAATTTGTATTTTTTCATGCTGATTTGGGGGCCATTAAAGCATTTGAACCAGTCAAAAAAGTTTAAGTTGTATATTTTTTACGGTTTTATTTGCGGAAAGTCGTGTTAAAGTTGATGCCGTGGTGTCAGTAAAATGGTACGGATATATAAATAAATATATATATATAATATATATTATATATATATCGTCTCGCTTTATATATAGTAAAATAGAGATAGGTATCTTTTGGTCTAGTTATTCGGACAGGGTGAAAGTGAAACCATACACAAAACTTTAATATTCGCACGGGAATTTGTCGGTCAACGAAATAGTAGAACATAATTTAACTGTATTACAGAGCTGTATTTATTAAAGATGGGCCCGCTTTTTTATAAAACAATTCTCTTGTTATGGTCTAAGAGTTTAGAGAGTTTGGAAAGTTGTTAGTTAGAGTTCCTTGTAACCTAGTAACCATCTAGTTACCACCTAGTAACCAGCCAGTTACCAGACAGTTACCAGTTAGAGTTCATTGTAAGAAACCATGAAGTGATGTGATGGTGAGTAGTCGGGGACATGTGTAGTAGTTGGGTGGAAACTGACCAAGAAACATTCTCATTATCTTTTTAAGATTGTAAGTACAACTGTGTTTCATGAAATGAAATGAAATGAGGTATTTATATCCCACTCATATGATTAACCAATAACACAAGGAAGGTGGTTAGCCATGTCAGAGCGGCTGACTGTGAGTGATGTGAGCAAATGTGTTAAAATTAACAAGAGTATAACTCCGTATAAGGCTAAGAAAAAATAAAACATCTTTTATTGTAAACCACACTAAACTAAAAAGAAGCAGAGACCATACAGTACATTGAAACAGAGGGTAAGAGACTAAGAGACAAAAGTGTGACAGTGTTAAGATTATTTTCCTTCCATCTGACTGGTAAGCTGGTAGCTACTAAACTTTATACACCTTTTATTCACTACTTAAAACCCGTTATATTTTTGTTGAACCCTTTCAGTTTTTTATCGTATCTAAAGTATTAGACAAATATTGGCTATTAATTTGCACGTGCATGGCTAAAACCCGATAATATTGCTCTGCACGCTTTTCCAGCGAAGTTGCTGACTAACGGCACATGACTCACGTGATCTCTTCCTTAACTCGCGACTTCATTTTGCATGGCACGTGCTGAGTCACGTGATCTCTTCCTCAACTCGCTACTTCATTTTCAGGGCTGTACATTCCAGAACTTAGTCGGTACCCGCTATATCTATCAGAATCATGTCATATCAGTAAAATTGACCTCGAAGTTCCGTTCAAGAAATTCCCCAACTTACGGTCCGTTAACTTGAAGCCAGTCAAACAGAGGGAGGTGAAAAGTACAGCTATGGACTTTGTCGCGGATGAGCCGTTTTTGATAAAGATTTATCTTAAGGACGTGGTTTTATTTTCTGGCAGATGCAAAAATCCTCTGTACTGATCTTTTCCTATGTTGGTATTAGTCTGTAAATATAAATTTTGTATGATATATTTATATGTGTATAACTATGCCCTGTATATTGTATATATTCAATTGTAATACTGTATCAGATTTATGTAATCCTGTTTGTTAAGGTCCTTAATTTGGTTTATGATTTTACAGAGTATTTAAATATACACAATGTTATGTTACTCAGATAAGATAATAACAATAATTTGATTACAAGTTGAATAGTTGCGCTTAGTATTTGGTAAACACCAGTTACATTGGTGCTCATCTTGCTTCATATTTTAAATGCTGGATCGAGGAAATTAGTAGATTTTATCAGTTCAGGCTGTTTTATACATTTGGGACGCTGAACTCATCATTTGATTGGCATGATAAGATCCTCTCTAGAAAATCATTAAACATTTTGTATGATTCAAACGTCATTCCGTCATAATGTCTACCAGATTTAACTTAATCTTATGAAATCAATGTAGTTTACTTGTTTTTCATTGCATTTATTGAGAGCAGAAGTTAAGCCCGGTAAACAGAAGTGCTTATTTACCAACTAGGTTCAACGGCTGGCAACTCAGGTTAACCTCAACAAATATATTACAATATAAGCATGGTAACAACACTGTTACTATGGTTACTATACAGTATACACCGTACAATGTACATATTGGTCCTTCACCAGGTGACAGGGGCCTGTACATCACACAAGCCCTGCACAAAGCTGTGATAGAGCTGAGTGAGGAAGGGACGGAAGCAGCCGCCACCACTGCCATGGTGGCTAACATGTACTGTATGATGCCGGAGGAGGAGGTGGTGGAGTTTTGTGCTGATCAGCCGTTTGTCATGGTCGTGGGTGGAGAGAGTGAGGAGTCTGAGTGGGAAACTGTCCCCTTATTTCTGGGCAGGTTCTCCGGAAAATGAACTGTGTTTTAACAGATGGTGGAGGGGTGGGGGCTGCACTGGTTGTGGGGCCTTTTGTGTGTTCGTGTGTAGTGAATCGTGTTAGCGTGTTGGATGGAGGACGGTTTATATTTCATTTTGATCGGCTTGTCATGTGGAATGGCATGTGGATCGGCTTGTCATGTGGAACTATTTTTAGTTCAACATTATAAAGAATTATAATATGGACTGGAAATTTATCAGAGTTTTAATGTATAATTGGAGAAAACTGGCTTTGAAAGATCTTTGTTCAGTAACTCAGTCTTTTACAGTGAAATTAATATTGGTAAAGTGGTAATTATAGAAAAACTACAAATTCAAAAAATCCACAAATTTTACCATTTCACCCAGTATAAAGTTAAAAATAGATAGGTATTATAATCAATTGAAGAAAATTGAATATTTGAAGGAACCTGCATGCCTACCTGCTGTCATTATCAAGTTTGAAATTGCAGGTATCCCAGACGATCTGTTTGTGTCGGGTGCAGTGCACAAAGCAGTAATATCAGTGGACGAGAAGGGAACTGAAGCTGCTGCTGCTACTGGCATGATGATGATGACACGCTGTATGCCTATGAGGCCTCCACTACCACCTGTTGAGTTTCATGTGGACCAACCTTGCTGTTTCTTTATCTTCTCTAGAGGACAAAATCCCTTGTTTACGGGCAGATTAGCTGATCCTTTAGCTGATTAGGAAGTTAAAAGCTTGTTTTAGTAGATAAGATTGTTGTTTGGGGTTATTAGTTTAAGTTTTGAAATATTTACGTTTTGATGGTAATTGTTAAGGGCTCCGACTCAGACTGAAGAAGATTCATTACGTCATTTTGATAAGTTTTGAATCTTCTTGATTGTTGTTAATATATCTTTATGCACATAGTCGAGATTTAGTAACTTTTTTAGTATTTTCACGAGTGTGTATTGTGTAAATTGTTATTGAGATGTTTTGTACTTTGTAGTATTAAATTTTAGCTGCCATATTATTCCCTTGATTTAAATTGACGTCTTAATTTTGTAGTGGTTCCTAACATTAAAGTTTAAAATTTACTAACTCTGGTGATTTGATTTGATTTGAAACTTTTACAAAATAGCAAATATACAAATGTTCAGCAAATCGAACAAACATATAAAATGGGCCGAAATGTATAAATGCTATAAAGCGTGGGTAAGTGAAACAAGTACAGAGGACAACTTTTAAAACACGAGGTTTATGTCCGCCCAAAGTCTCAATAACGTCACCTCCACCTAGTAATAAAATTATGAAATATGAAGTGTGAAACAAATTATGAAATATGAAGTGTGAAACAATCAAGAAATAGCTCGTATATAAATTATAAAATTGTCTCTCAAATACAGATAACGTCCGAAAACTATTAAGATACACAATACTCATTTAAGTACTGATCAGTGTCCGAGAGACATGAATTGCTTCATGTTGGTTTCTTATCACGGCTACAGACTTTCCCGTACCGGATATAGTGGTCGAGATGAGTCTGTTCAGCCCTCTTCTTCTTCAGGTCGGTAACCAGATGTTTTCCTCGTTGCTCGTTCTTCGCTAGATCTATCTGGACAGATCCATACATTTTTGTGGGTCTCAACTAGCCTCAGTCTTCCTGTTTTCATCAGAATCTGTTAAACCGCTGTTAAGCTTGGGACAGTGATCTTTACTGGTCGGATAGTCGTACTACCTGGCCTCTTCCTGCCGACTCTAGTCGCTTCGAAGTGAGGTTTCTCCCCAATCTCCTCCAGAACTGCGGTTACTAGCGCTGGAAGCTGTTCTCCCTCTTCTTCTTTCAACCCAAACACAATCAGGTTCTTGCTCCTGTCCTCCTCTGCAGCCACCTTCTTCAGGATGTTACTGTTGCAGACCGTACCACTTGCACTGTTCTGTTGTACAGCTGCACTGTAGCTCTTAATCCCTGACCTCTGACTCCACCGTAGTTTGCACTGTCTCCTTAACCGACGTCTTAAACAACTGTAGTTCTTTGTCCTTCTGCACAAGCAGCTGGCCCTGCAGCCTGATCAACTTATCCTTGTCTTCTAACGCTTCTGTCTTCAAGAAATATATATGATCTCCTCCATTTCAGCCATCTGGCATTCATGCCGTTGAACGAGGTCTATTGCTTCCACAAGCCGAAGTGCCAGATGCTTTTTATAGACAGTTGGAGCCATAAATAGTGTAGGTAGGTAGTGGTTGTATCGGAACTAAATCGAGGATGTCAACATCATGAAATATGAATATTAACAAAATGGTTCGACCAACTCTAACTTTTAAACTTTTGCTCTAAGATATTCATTCCAAAACTCTAGCAGTCCAACAACTTCTCTACGTCTGAATTAAATTAACCTCAAGTACGATTTAATCATCTACTGTAAAACTAGAAAACTTAGTCTGCGCACACAATATTCACGGAAAACAGCCTTATTATGAAGCTGATGTTATTTCTCAGTAGCATCAAGCATTGCTCAGTATCAAGTATTTGTATTATTCGTATACCCTATAATTGTACATGATTACACCCATGTATAAAAAAGAATTATCGGTGTGCCGCGTGACTGCTCGTTGATCATTGATGCAGACTTCATGAGGTCTGAAAATATGCCAGTCACTTAGGCCCAATTTCCTTGAAGATATTTTATCAAAAGAGGGTCTTTGAAAAGCTGTAATTTGTAAGACTTTGTGCGCGCTAAAGATAATTAGCGCGCGCATCGTGGGAAACTTTTGTCACTAGACTGGCATGTGAAAGGGGATTGCCCGGTGGATACAATTATTTTTAACAAATTATTGGACATACTTGCACTTGATTTGTAGAAAAGCTACTAAAAGTATCTATTCCAGTGTAGATTCTAATAAAAGGACGAGATAACATAAGAAGCGGATGTTTTAATTCTTCAGTGATCACCAAGAATTAAACCAACCCTTCTTATATTGGCAGTTCAAGAGGAACGATTACCCGTTGCATTATCGGAAATAAACGAACAAATTGCGTTGATTCGTGTATCTTAAACAATTAACATTTAGAGGCCGCTTTGGAAACTCTTTTGGAATTCCTATTAACAGTTTGTGAGGATACACGGCCTCCCAACAACCGTGCAATTACTACTACTGTTTTAAAAAACCATCATGCTCTTTTATTTATCCAAATCGATTGTAAAATATGAATATAATGTATAAATTCATCGGTTTAAACTGTCATTATTTTTAATGCAATTGCGGTTGAATTAAGTATGATGGCTGGTTGCATGGTATTTCCAATATCAAATTATGTTGGTGGAGGGGGTAACAGAACCAGTAACTTCCCATTCTTGACATGTCAAAGAATTGTTGGTGCCAACATCTTCAAGTTGTTTCGATATGTCTAGAAAAATAAATCCAATATTATTGACATCTCAGACATATCCGACCGGTGTGCGCATATGGTATCTGTATGTGAACAGTGTGAATTTTAGGTTCCATATAAAGTATTGAGTTATTCAGATGATATAGCATAAGATGATGTTAAGTGATTGAATGTGACAGTCGACCTTCAGCTGCTGCTGTAAAATAAATTGGAACGGTATTTGCGGAGCTTTGGTTTAAGATACAGACCTCAGCGTCGCCACATTTCATTATTGTACACCTCTAATTATGTAATGCGACTTCAGAACCGAGTTTAGTGTATAGTGTGTAGTGAAAGAAAAATACTGCACTTGAAAAATGAATTGTATTGCAACAGATATCATAAGTTTACCAATCATCATTTAAACTTCTTAATGGAATTGAAAATTTCAGCGTGAAACGAACAGAATTAAAATTGAAAATTTAAATGTTTGTTTAATTAACAACGCTTTGATATCAAGAACATCAATTTTGAAAATCTTAAACTTTAACAATCCCAAAAGTTGTCGAAAAAACTGTAGAATTGTTCTTGTCTGACCAAAAATAAACTTTTATAAAAAGTACGGTTTCAAGTCCATAGATGTCTAGAACGTTCGGTTTTCCAAAGCGTTCCAAAGCGAGAAATATCAGTGAGGGGGGGGGGGGGGACCTGAAAAAAGTGCTAGATTTAGTTTTTTAAACCTTGAAACAATAATTTCATTTCTCATTTAACCTCTATACAAGAGCTAAGATCAATCTAAAAATATGCATACTTAAAATAATTCTTCTTATCGAGCAGGATTCGAAACCAATAGTGACAGCATCTATTACAATCAAAAACCTTAGCAATCGAATTACTAATTTACTACTCGTAAAATATTATAACTAACTTGTTTTGGGGGATGTGGAGCATGGTGAGAAGAGTTACCATGGTTACCAGACGCAGGAGAAACCGCCTCCCCACACATTGCAGTTCATTCCATTTCTGTTACACCTCTGTGGAAAAATAATCGTGAATTTTAATAAAATAATGAATACTTTTTACTGTCACGCAATTTATATTTTAAACTTTTAATTCAGCTACGTTATGTTTAATAAAATGTGGCTTTTAACTACCTTCTGGGCTCTTTCACTACAACTTGCTGCTCTTTTGACTGGTCCATTTTCAGAAACATCAGATAGCTTGTAATATATCGCCTCTGAAACGGATCATGTGTTCACTCACGGCATACTCAACTATTCATGCATTAAAAAAAAGACTGCGCGACTGAACTACTAAGTGAATTTATAAAGAAATGGTGGATGAAATCGAAAAATTAAGAATCTTCGATTAGCTTACCAATATTATCATCCATTTCATCTGCCTCTAGATCTCTTTCCACCAGCTTGCCGCAACTCACCTCCATCACAGCTGAAAATATATATATATATACCACATAACATATCTTTGTTGTTTTACCACTTTGTTTTTAAGGAAAATCAGTTCAGTTGCCACTTAAACTCAAACATACAAATGATTTTACATCAACTTAAGAAGTTATAGAAGAATAAAAACGGCCACAGTTATACATGGCCAAACAAAAATATGCTCTTACCAAAAGTGACCAGTAGAAGAATTGAGAACTTCATCATATCTTTTATTGAGGAACTTGATGAACCTTGATCTAAATTACATGTCATTTACGTTCCTTCTAAATTTAAAACCTTGGCCGTTGCTACATTTTGGAATGTATAAGAATTGGGTAAAACGGTAAAACTGACAGTTCAACAATTAAATGAATGCCAAACTTAACTTAAAATCTTCAGTTTTGTTTTACAAATAGATTGATATTGTTGAGATGTAGGGAAAGAAATAATACTAATTGAGAAAAGTTATGGAGTTTCGTAGCACTTGTAGATCAGCACGAAAAAAGCATGAAAAAAGTTTTCCAGATTTCTACGTTACTAAAACGTTAACAATAAGATGTAAGCCCTAAATTCAACTAATCAGCTAAACGTTTAAACATTTAAATTTGGTATGATTTTTAAAAATTTGCACCCAATAAATTAATTCAGCAAACTCAATCCCAAACCAGCTAAAACTGAACGAAACTGTATCCTTTTGTCCAAAATCATAATCTGCTCGAAGTACGCGGATAGTAAAATAGTTCGGATATCAAAAGCTGCTCTTCCAAACTCCGTAGTCCGGAAGTGTGCAGGTAGTTGTGTGCTGGTGTGCTGGTAGTATATAGGGGAGTGCACGGGCGGGGGAGGTGTTACCTGAAGATTTAACTTGGTTAAGAAATGCAATATTATAATCTCTTATCTGTAGACTGTAACTGAGCTATGTGAGGTAGTGAAGTAAATAGTTACGGTTATGATCTTGCTACAACTGCTTGATGTTAGGACCACAATCATGGCCCCTGAGTCACAGTACCGTTATGTCATCTTGGGCAGAGTCTACTAAAGACTGAATAACTGTAGCAGACAATATCATAGTGTGTGGAGGACATTTTTTTCGTCCACTCTTCTAAACCAAGGTTGTCAAACCGAGCGTGCTAAATCCCTCTACACTCGACTAAATCCCTCTACACTCGACTAAATCCATCTCCACTCGACTAAATCCCTCTACACTCGACTGATTAATCACGATCCTCGTCAAACTGTCTTAAAGGTGGCCATACGGCGGAGAACTGTCAGCTTGATGGCGCTGAAGACAGCGGAGATGGTACAGGTGGGACTGTCAGTATGATGGTGCTGGAGGACCGTCTGACAACCTGTCAAATGGCAGGTGGGCAGATCTGACCATCTTATAACCTCGCCACCTGTTATTGGATTGATCCTTTACCACTTATCCTAAGTAAAGTGCAAACTGCACATTAGATTCTACTTAAATCTCCAAGAGCATGATGAGGGTACCATAAATCCACAACATATTCCGCGTAAAAATAACCCTCTTACCTTTATACGGGATGTGAAGCATGGTGAGAAGAGTTACCATGGTTACCAGACGCAGGAGAAACCGCCTCCCCACACATTACAGTTCATCCCTCTCCTGGTACACCTCTGCGGGTTACATTACTAGCGTCAATGCTTGTGCTTTAATTCAATCAAAATAGTTAATAGAAAGTGATTTAAAATATTCTCACTGAATTTTATAATGTTGAGCTGAGACCAAAAATGACAAAATAGCTATTAAACCTTGAAGTTGATAAAACTGCGATATATAAACCACGTTTGTATGATATACTGTTAGAAATTACCTTTTTAAAACTTTCGCTGCAACTAGAGGCTCGTTTATGTATAATGCTATCGTCACTGCCAGACATTTTATAGTATATCGCCTCTGAAATTGATAAACTAGTCACTCACTCAAACTTTCTAATAAATAATTGATGAGCTGTATTTTGCAGAATAGACCGATATGAAATGATGATAAATAAATTACGAAATACTTTATTTAAGACTTTTTAATCTACGCACTTACCAATGTTGTCCTCTATACCATCAGTCTCCAGATCTCTTTCCACCAGCTTGTCGCAACTCACCTCCATCACAGCTGAAAATATATATTGTTCAATTAAAAGTGATACAATTTACCTGTCAAAATCGTCAATTTGAAAACCTAGAAAAAGTATTCAGTATTATTTTTGGACAAGTTTGATAATAAAATAATAGTTTATTTACCGAACATTACTAGTAGAAGAATTGAGAACTTCATCATCGTTACTTTTTGTTGATGAGCCTTGTTCTAAATTGAATTGTTTATCAGAATATAAGCAGAAAAATTTATTAACAGACAAATGTTAACCATCACAACACACTATCAATCAGTCAAAGATAGCTTATTTATAATTATAGCTTTTAGATCAATTATTGCAATAAAAATCAATAATAACAACGCGTTACCCTGAACTTGTATAACCAGCCAAACATCTAACAATTGTTCAACAAAACTTGAAACAGAAAATAGCTTTTGTGAAAAAACAAGCACAAAACAGAAACAGAATTGAATCATGTGTGTTCTTGAAAAGTTGTAGTTTGACCAAAAAAGCGCATTTATCTTCACAAAAATGGGCTCAAGTCCTTGTGTGTTTAAGATGTCCAACATCACGTGATACCCATATAAGGAGACTTCAAGAATTTGCAGGGATCAGAGGAAGGGTGAACCTGGAAATGAAATATAAATTAAAACACACTTTGTCACCTCTTGAAGGCGATCTACACATGTATTTTGAAACCATCCATCTTTACTCTTAGGACAATCGACCATTATTAATTTCTAATCTGAGATCAAAGAATAACAAAAGATGTAAGGGATAGTTGGGACCTGATCCCGGCTCCCCTCTACAGTCTACACTCGACTATGGCCTGATTTAACAAGTTCTCTAGGTAACCCTGAGAGTGACTATTCAAAATCTAACCCTCTACTCTGACGGGTCTGACCCTGACCCTAACCCTAACTAGAGCAAATGCTAAAACACTATCCGTACGAATTGAGCACGCTCGCTCTGTTTTACCTTTAAACATAGCTTTTCTGTATAAACTAAACAAGTGTAAGCATTTCCAAACTCATTTTCTCTCCCGTTATATGCAGTCCCCCGGATCTCGACTCAGCATCATAAATGCAAAACCATAATGGTTGGTTCATTAACAGATAATCTAATTGAAACAATACAATATAACATGTCACCCAACGGTTTAAAAAACCTAACAACTAACTTGTTTTGGGGGATGTGAAGCTGGAGACAGTTACCATGGTTACCAGACGCAGGAGAAACCGCCTCCCCACACATTGCAGTTCATCCCATTTCTGTTACACCTCTGTGGTTAAAGTATTTGTGAGTGGTTCAATTCTTATGAAAATATTCAATCCAGGGCCAATATATTGTCTTATATTTTCAACAGTCACAGAAATATGCAACATATTGATTCCGACTCGGATTGGTAATAAAATTTTATTTTAAAACGTTGAGCGTATGAGCTGTAGAAAAATCACACCAAAAATAAGATTTACTACGAGTAAAAAATAAGATTTACTAGAGTGCTAGCAGCAAAAATAAACCTTTGTCATTCTTTCGCTGCAACTGGCGGCTCTTTTAGCTAGAGCAGTATCGTCACTATCAAACATCTTGTAGTATATCGCCTCTGGAAAGATTATTGTGTTTTAGGCAAGCAGTCATAGAAATTAACACCAAATGCAACAGTATGCTGATGGTACCACAAACAATACCAACTGTAGTTGGTTACACAAAAAATGTGCAATCGGTACAATGCCGACCGGCTATTAGCCGGCTGATACGGTAACAGCCGGCTAACAGCCGGCTAGTAGCCCTAACAAAACACATGTAAGCGTCGGCTATTATATAGCCATGTCACTTCATTGGATTCATTAATAAATTTGTCAGTCAGCACTTATTAATTGTGAATTTTCACCCATGGTAATCATCCAAATGGCAGTTTTATAATGACCTTTCACCTTCTCTAATGAGAAAAATAAATTCATGACAAATTCGGCATTTTGTAGATAATCGTTTACATATATTATGGTTTTTTAGTTTTTGAATAAATCGATAGGAAACTCGCCTTACTTGAGTTTGTTAAAGAAAAAAAAGAGATGCATCGTTAGGCAACCTCTAACCTCCGTACTTACCAATGTTCTCTTCAAGTTCATCTGCCTCCAGATCTCTTTCTACCAGCTTGCCGCAGCTCACTGCTGAAAATATTAAACTTCATAAAATTCATATTAGTGGATTTAATAGTGTTGAGATTTATTGGAATTGAAAGTCTCAAAATGTAAGGCAAAGAAAGAAATTTAACATTAACACATTTACTAATTCTATTACCAGCGATAACGAGCAGAAGAATTGAGAACTTCATCATGATGAACTTGATGAACTTTGATCTAGATAAAATGATTTAATAAAAGAGCTCGAAGACTCATATAGATTCTTTTATCAATTGAATTGATAAAAGATATCTTAGATAATATATATATATATATCATATATATATCGGTACAAAGCAAACTATGCAATTGTCAAACTATAAGTTTCATGTTTGAAAAGCAATCTTCAGTGACATAATTAACATAAGAATGGCAAACATAATACAACACAGTGCTCCTTTATCAAATTTTATAATTAACAATTAACAATTACTCAATACTACTAAACCTATATAAATAACTACAAATCCTAATAACTAATAAATACTAACTAAATATGTCTAACTAAGAATTTCCTAGAGTGCCTACATTTAGAAATAATTTCTGATCTTTTATTAATAATGCCTGGGGTTTTAAGTATGTATAGTTTCTCGTCTAAGCAGAGGCCACAATGCCCCGCTCCAGCCTTATATTTCTTCGATTTAGTAATAATCTTCCAGTCTATGCTATATTCAATCATCTTCTCCTTGAGGTCCCATATCAATTTTGATAACTCGGTACTCAGTCTGTGCTTAGAATTCTTAAAACTTTGTCGATGATTGTACCACCGTGTCTTAAAACTGTTTTCAGTCAATCCAATATAGGCCGTTTCCTTGTTGGATGCCGTTTTAACGGTTGCTTGGTATACTATGCATTTGGCCAGACATTGTCCTTTGAGGGGGCACTTCGAGGCATAGTATACCAAGCAACCGTTAAAACGTTAGAACGGCATCCAACAAGGAAACGGCCTATATTGGATTGACTGAAAACAGTTTTAAGACACGGTGGTACAATCATCGACAAAGTTTTAAGAATTCTAAGCACAGACTGAGTACCGAGTTATCAAAATTGATATGGGACCTCAAGGAGAAGATGATTGAATATAGCATAGACTGGAAGATTATTACTAAATCGAAGAAATATAAGGCTGGAGCGGGGCATTGTGGCCTCTGCTTAGACGAGAAACTATACATACTTAAAACCCCAGGCATTATTAATAAAAGATCAGAAATTATTTCTAAATGTAGGCACTCTAGGAAATTCTTAGTTAGACATATTTAGTTAGTATTTATTAGTTATTAGGATTTGTAGTTATTTATATAGGTTTAGTAGTATTGAGTAATTGTTAATTGTTAATTATAAAATTTGATAAAGGAGCACTGTGTTGTATTATGTTTGCCATTCTTATGTTAATTATGTCACTGAAGATTGCTTTTCAAACATGAAACTTATAGTTTGACAATTGCATAGTTTGCTTTGTACCGATATTTCATGCTCCTAGCTACAGCTAGTAGAGCCCTTTTTCTATAAGAGAAGAAAACCAGTTGTATCATATATATATATATTTTATCGGACCTTATTTGAACGGACATTATGTGAGCGGACATAATGTTGAACGGACAGTAAAATAAACGCCCGAAGGAGTTCAAAACCAATAAAAATCCGAATTTATTCATCTTTTTTCCAATTTTAACAGATAATCTTTAAATCCATTTTTCATACAGCAAGTAAGAAAAGCAGTTGTTAGGCATTAAATATGTTAAATGCTGTGCAGATGAAGTATGCCATATCTCCCTCGGAAGATATCCCGGTTTCGAATTCTATATTATCGAGATGGTCGGTATGGTAGAAGGTATTGTCGTTGACATGAAACACCGAAGGTAACCTATGCCAAGTGGGGGGCTAGCGATAAAGCTCACGTTGTACTTCAGGCATTCCAGTATCCCTGTTAGAGCAGTTGATATCGTTCATTACCCGGTACAACTACGAGTTAGATAAACAACCAGTTGTAAGAGATCTAGAACTAGAAGATGTGGAGGTAGATTAATAGTAACTCCGAAGAAATGAACGAGGGACCGTAGATCAAGAAAGTGCAGAAGTGCCATAATGTGATATTTATAATATGTAAATTTTATAATAACTTGTTTTTCATTGATCCAATGATACAGTTTAGTCCGATGATAGAAATTGAAATTAACTGAAATTAAAAAGTTGTCATATCCTGGACAATAAGTCCGCAGTGGAATAATTTTTGAAAAAAATGCAACGGACTTTAATTTGGACGGACCGTAAAGGGACCGACATTATTTGAACGGACATTAAGATGAACGCTAGGGCCTCCAGCGTTTAATTAATGTCCGTTCAAATAAGGTCCGATAAGGTATATCTATATTATATGACATTCTTTAATTAATATGACCGATATGATCGATCATCGAATGTAGTAGTAGTGGTCCTAATAGTAGAAAATGCGTATTATATATATGTATGTCAATCTGCAGACTACAAAAACTGCGTCAATGGAAAGCGGGACCTAAAAAATATGAACAATATTACAAATATTAGCGGACAACAGTGTTGGCTGATGAGATAGTGTGCGATAGGCTTTAAAATGCGTGATATAATGCGTGATATAAGAGGTTGGGAAGAGATGTACCGTCGTGTAAACAACAGAGGTGACATAATTATACTAGTAAAGGGCAGCGCACATTTTACTGTTCCTCAACGGGGGGATTGCTTATATTTTGACGAAGAAAAGGAGGCAACCTTACAGTCCAGGGGTATTTTAATACCCATTAAACGAATCTCGTTACTACGAAAAAGTGGTGTAAGATATTTAGGTTAAATTAAGCGTACCATAAAAATATTTTTGATGAACTTGGTGGAATTTTCTAGACTCTTCGTGGAAACCTGTGTCTGGTTGAAAAAGAATATCGTCACCATTACTATTGTTCAAAGACCATTGACCGATTGACAATTATACATGCATTGTGTACAGGGGTCGAGCTCTGATTGTGTAGAAGCTGAAGAGCTTGCAACACGAACAAAA